TTAGACCTTGTGGTTGTATTTACACTCTTATAGATGCTCATGACTTGTGACACCCCGATTAGGGCTGTGTTGGGTTGTACTTCCGCTAATTAATATTATTAAATCATAATTAGACTGCTTATTCACGTTTAACTATTTTTGAAAAGGCGATATGGGTTGGTTGGCTGGCCTTGTCTTCACGAGAGGCGCCATCACGACCGGATCGGGGTTTGGGTCGTGACAAGTTGATATTAGAGCCTAGGTTACTAGGTCTCACGAGTCATGAGCAGGTTTAGTAGAGTCTCGCGGATCGGTACGGAGACGTCTGTATTTATCCTCGAGAGGCTGCAGAACCTTTAGGAAAGCTTCACATTCTTGAATTCTTATCGTGCGTCCCTGATTCAGCTTGAAAAGTAACTTTTGAAATTCCTTGCACGCGTTCGCATGCGCGCATGGGCGCTCAGTATCAGATATGCCTTGATGGCTTGTGATTCCCCCGATTGAGGGGAGAGATGTGATCTCTGTGAGTTCGATGTTGGGCCGGTCTGGAGGACTTGAGGCCGGATCTTTGCCTACGACTTGACCACTGAGGTGCTGATTGTGTGAGCAAGTGTTTTGAACTTATATGTTCGGTATTGTCCCTATTAGTGGAAGTGATAACTGGATAGCTATGTGATGAGTGTGATGTGGCTGCGAGATGTTTCTATATGACTTGGAAGTGACGAGGAAGGCCTGCTGGATGATAGATGAACCATTAAGTGTTCGATTTCCATTGTGAGTGGATGTGTGGCCCCGAGTTATGGGCGCGTGAAGAACCTTTCATGTTTTCCAATTGAGAGTGAAGCAAATTTTATGTTGCGGTACGAGCTCAGACTCAGGAAGACTAAGTAACTGTGTAATGTGTATGACGATGGAGCAAAATAGAAAGTACAATAATAATAAGAAAACTCAACATTACTATTCAAAACTAAAAGGTAAAAGACGGCATAATAAAAAAAACAGACTCAAAACACAAAAAGAAAAGAAAATCTTCTTTTAATCCATTTCTGAATGAGCGATCCTGACTAGATGTCCTAGGCTCTGTCATGCTCCAACTCCGCTAAGTAAATCCACACCTGTATGAGAAAATTAAAACCAAATAGGTTAAAGACCTAGAACGCTATGTGAGACATTAACCCTTCCTGTGGGAAACATGCAAGACATGATTTAGGCTATTTTTGCAAAATGACTTATTTGGCCAAAAGATGGCTAGAAGTGCAAAATTTGGCTAAGACCCCGCAAAGCTAAAAACCTAAGATTTACTAGGAAGACCGGACCCTATGTGGGTTGCCTACGTATCACGCCTCGAAAGACGAGAATCAGGTGTGCGTAGTTCGGGCAGATTGGATACGGTTGAGAATTAAAAAACAAATAAATTAGAGAAAATATATTTTTTGCTTTTCCTTGAAAAGATGATGAAACATGCAAAATCTTTTTGGATTTTCTTTCTTCTTTTTTTTTTTTTTTTGATTTTTCGATTTTTCGAAAAATGATGCAAAAGTGCAAAATCTTTTTGAATTTTCTTTTTTCATTTTTTTCCTCTCTTCCTTAACAAAAATGTGAGAGAAAACATAATTGGGCCCCACTCGCTTTATCTTCACACTTCACTCTCTCTTTTTTTTTCATTTTTCACTATTTTTTCATTTTTTTGCATTTGCCCTCAGCTATCCTTGGTCCGCCAAATGACCCTTTTACCCTTGAATATATGCAACATGTAGCACATAGGATGCATCAAGATGGTCTGTTATTTTGGGTATACCTGTCCTAGACGGACCCAACCCCTGTGTTGAGTCCCCTAAGTCAAATGCACGTGATGCAAACAAGCGCTCCTACTAGTGATCCGGCATGGAGTTGTGTTTTTCTTAGTTTAAATCCTGGAGTTTTGATCTAGACATGGGGTACCCGAGCGGACAACTGGGGCCGAGGAGGGGGCGACGTACCGGGAGCACTAAAGTCTGCCCGGCCTTGTCGCTTGCCCGGCCTCGCTCTATTTGGTATATTTTCTAGAAAAAGCGGGCTACGCGAACGTATGCACCAATTTTAAAAAAAACTAAAGGGGTGGCGTAAGAAGACAATTATATACAATGCAACAATAGTAAAGCGGTAAACAGATAGCATTTAGCACAAAGGTTCACATAATGCAATAATATCAATAATAAATAAGCCGAGTAAAAATCATAAATAATAATTTTACATATCTAAATAGTGTATTTTTTTGGGAAAAGGCCTTGGAACTAAGTAGATCAACTGCTGAGTTCAACTGAACCAACGTTTTTCACACGGAGCATAAATATATATATGTGAAATCATAAAAACATTGAAAAATATTAAATTTTTGAAGCCATTATTTCAAAAACCCTACAAATACACATGCGCATGTCACACCTCCTTTTTCTCTTACACCCCGGGGAAGGGTATAATAAATAGGGAGTTTTTCCAATTAAAGGACAATCAAAACGGGATTCGTTTTATTAAAATCAGAGTCGCCACTTGGGAGATTTATGGTGTCCCAAGTCACCGGTTTTAATCCCGAATCGAGGAAAAGAATGACTCTGTTATTACAGTCTGCGAATCAGAAATTCGGGTAAGGAATTTTGTTAACCCGAGAGAAGGTGTTAGGCACTCCCGAGCTCCGTGGTTCTAGCACGGTCGCTTTGATAATACTTAGCTTACGAAAATTGTTTAATTACTGATTTTAAACCTATGTGCATTTGTTTCTTTCACCGCTTTTAATTAGAAAATTATCTTGAGACGGGTTACGCGTACGTATACCCGCCCGTTTGATGCGTCAAAAATTATGTCACGCGAACGTGTCCACAATCAATGACGCTTAATTATTATTAAGAAAATTTGGGCCGAAATTGCGCGACGCATACAACTACATATTCCCACCCTACTGTAAATCACATTAATTTATGCAACAAAATGAAACCAGAACGTATAGATGACAACGGAAGATTAAACGAACAGATATGGATCGAAAACACGACTACTACAGAAAATCAATTAATTACATGTCGATTGCTATTCCGCGAAACAGAAGTCGATTACGATTCCTCCTAACACTGACGTTCATTTATCTCACTAAGATTTATCATTCAAGCAAAGGATTTGACAAAATAGCTTCAAAGTGAACCAACTTGAACAAGATGCAAAGTAAACTTAAAAACGAAATGTTTCCTACTTAACTCAAATGAGTGCCAAGATAACATAACAAACTAACTAAAAATCTAAACAAATAAAGCCTTGCACCAAATCACTTCATTGAATAATCTTATCAAAAACACATCCAAACCAAAACGTAACTGAAGGAAGAGAGTAAGAGAATGGACCTTTGATTGAATTTGAAACTACAAGATCGCGAACAGGACCTTGGTTATAACGGACACCTCGACTCGACTCTTTGTGTTTAGACTGGAATGCTCTATTTCAAAACAAAATCGAACAGATCGCCTCCTTGAGTTCCGAAACGAAAATCGACCGAAGCTTTGAGTAACAAGAGTTCCAAAATTCAGAGAATGGGATGGACAACAGAGATCCATCCACCAACTCGTCAGTGGCCAAAACAACAATGTTGGGTGGCTATGTAGTTTCGATGTGAAGTTCACTGTGAAAATCTAATGAACTATGGGCGTTTCACGGTGATTTTAACGGCTATAGTGGCTGGTTTAATGGTGGAATTTGGTGTGATAGAAGTAGACAAATGAGGGAGTCATACGGCTCTCGAATGGAATCCAATTGAAGTTGCCTCCCTGGGGCTTTTTCCTTGTGAAGAAGAAGATGATATATGGATCGGGTTGCAC